GTTTCCAATTCCCATCTGTACCGCTGTGCATCATCTGGTCTAACCAGGTCTGCAAGGCAAAATTGGGGTCCTGGTAGTTGGGGGGAGGAAGCGTTTAGAAATATAACGTGTTTAAACACATTTCTGCAATCAGTATGGAGCCCGGGTTGTATATTGGTTATGAGTTGGGCAGCGATCCACCTGGTTGGCAGTTTGAAACCACCAGCCACTCCGCAGGTGAAAGACTAGGCTTTTGACTCTTCTAAGCAGTTACAGTGTCGCAAACCTAGAGCAGTTAGCTGTGAGTCAGCAATGAGTCGATGGTGGTGAGTTTGAAATTTTTCTGTAAGAGTGGACGGTTGTAGGCAAGTTCATTCAGCAAACTTGTCTTGGTACCGTTAGGGTGCCTTCAAAAGAGATCTAATCAAAACAGTGGCTTTCTAAAGGATTTGCTGAGGGAGTGAAGTTCAAGGCCGAAGGTTGTGGTGACTATTATTTGGAATGCCAAAGAATTCATCTTGACAAATTTTGATCACCTTGATCATCCTGATAGGACACAGGATGGTCACGGAAGCTTATTATGAAGACGTTGTAATGAAATTAAAAACTGCACTGGTGAGAAAAGGCTAGGAGAACTGCACTAAGGAAGCGTGCATCGTGACTATGCATCTACTCATTCTTACTGGGCAGCAAGAAATGGATTATGAGAATTTCATTGGGAAACCTTACCTCATCTACTTTACAACCCTAGTCTTGTCCCTTTCAACTTCTTTCTGTTCCTGTAACACAAAGAATATTGAAAAGGAACACAATTTAAGTCCCTCTAAGATACCCAAACTGCTTTTCTGTAAATTTAAGAGTCCAGAATTCTCTGGGGAAAGGTTACAGAAATGGAAACGGTGTCTTTGAAGCACACAGACCTCAAACAAACAAACAAACAAACAAACAAACAAACAGAATTCACTATCAAGTCAATTCCAACTCATAACTCTATAAAACAGGATAGAATGGACCCTGTGGGTTTCCAAGACCGTACATCTTTAGAGGAATAGAAAGTCTTATCTTTCGCTCACTGCATGCCTACTGGTTTCAAACTGCTGACCTTGTAGTTAGCAGCCCAACATATAATTCACTATATACCACTAGTGCTCTTGTGTATAGACCTAGATGGAAGATATGTCAGGAAACAACGGCTTCACATTTTGATATTTTGTTTAATCAAAGTATGTATAATTTTATAGCATATTTCACTTTCTCTGTATATATACACAAATATTTGACTTATAAAACACTTTGACTCATCTCAATAACTTTTGTTTCAAGTATCAAGCAAAAGGCAAAAGGAACAAGAAAGCTCAGAACTAATCTTAACTGTCACATTGTCGAACACCAAACCTCTAGTGTGTCTGTGTCTGTCTATCTCACACAAACTAACAGAGTTCAGAGAAAAGAGATCTCTTATTTTCAAGAAAAACGAAACCACTGAGCTCTTCTGAAATAGACTATATTAGTGGCATGAAACATGGCTGCATTTTTCAATTGCCTTTATCTTTTAGTGCTCCTGGTTGAAATAACGTTTGTCTGTCTTGGGTTCTTTCTTTCCATAGCTATTTACCACATCTCCCCACCCTTCATCCCAGCAAACTTGAGTATCAAAAGCAGGTCCCCCGGAGACAACAACTCTCCTCATGCCTTTCCCCTGCTTATAGAACAACCTGATCTATTAAGGAAAATGTTGACCAAGCACAGGAGAGCCACAGACAACAGAAGAAACTGAGTATTAGTCCCCAAGCGACCATGGGGATGGCTATTAATTGCTATAACCTAGCACATGATAACCCCATGTAGCAGAGTATAATTGCCCAAGTGTTCAGGAGGATGTTTGCAAAGAATTTAGAACTCGTAATGTTGGTGGGAATGTTAAAGGGTATAGCCAATGTAGAAAATAGTTTGGCTGAGGGAACCGATTACAAGGAGCTGTATGTGATCTCCTCCCTGGGGGACGGGCAACAGAAAAGTGGGTGAAGGGAGACGTCGGACAGGGCAAGATATGACAAAATAATAATTTATAAATTATCGAGGGCTCATGGGGTGGGGGTAGCGGGGAGGGAGGGGGGAAAATGAGGACCTAATGCCGGGGGCTTAAGTGGAGAGGAAATGTTTTGAGAATGATGAGGGCAATGAATGTACAAATGCGTTTTACACAATTGATGTATGTATGGAATGTGATGGGCGTTGTATGAGCCCCTAATAAAATGATTAAAAAAAAGAAAAGAAAATAGTCTGGCAGTTCTTCAAAGAGCTAAACATAGAAAGAACGTATGATTCAGCAATTGTGCACCAATGTTCGTTGTATAATTCTTCACGGTAGCCTAAAGATGGAAACAATCTTAGAAAACCCCACTGTCATTGAATCAATTCCAACGTTGAAAGGTTTCTAAGACTGAGTCTTTACAGGGGAAGACAGTCTCCCCCTTCTGTGGTGTAGCTGTGGGCTTGATCTGCCAACCTGGCAGTTCGTAGTTGGGCTGCTAACCTCAAAGTCAGCAGTTCGAAACCACCCGTGGTTCTGAGGGAGACAGACAGGGCTTCATACCCCTGTAAAGAGTTACAATCTTAGGAACTCATAGGGGCGTTCTGCTCTGTCCCGCAGAATTGCTAGGAGTCGGAATCAACTCAAAGGCAGGGAGGTTGTTTGTTTGTGATATATAAATGACTGTTACTCAGCCATAAAGAGAAATTAAGTCCTGATACAAGTATGATGGATGAACCTTGAAAACATTATACTAAGCAACGTAAATCAGATACGAAAGGACAAATAATATATTATCTGACATGTCTAAAATAGGCAAATAGAGAGAGATAAAAGTTTAATTTTGATCACCGGGCCTGTGGGAAGACGGATTGGGAGTTACTGAAGAAGGCGTACTGGGTTTCTATCTGGGTGATGAAAACATTCAGATATAGATAATGGGGGTGATAGTACAACATGATGAATTTAATTAATGTCACTAAATATACGTTCAGAGATGATAAAATATATATATGTGTGTATATATATATATATATATATCATCCACAATAAAATCTAAGAAGAAAATTAAAACATGTTAGAAACATTTTTAATTTTTGCATACCATGGATACCAAGATGAACCAGTCAGTAATGCGGAAACTGTTTGAGGGGGGCAGTGTAAGAGCAGAAAGCATGATGGCACAAGGCAGAAGTGAGATCATCAACACCAGATACCTCGTACTAGACACTCATGTTCATACCTACACGTCACAGCTTGAGAAAGATGCAGAGAACTTGGAATGATCTGAGCTCAAAGCAATTAAAAGCTAGATACCCAGCCCCATGGATCCCTAATGCAGAGGCGCAAGACCATGGCTGCATGCTGTCTCCCAAATGTTGCGCTAGAAAATTATGCGACAGAAACCTGAATGTGACAGCTGAAGAGAGAGCAAGCTCCAATGTGCCTAAAATTTAAAAGTAAGAATTCAAATCATATAGAAAGGGCTTTCAGAGAGTGGTGGATGCCCAAGAGCAGATAAATTACCAAAGAAAAATGCATAGTGGCTTTCTTTAGTGCTCTTAGAAATGTAAAGAAAAAAGTAGAAAACGCTATCTGTCCACATCCCTCACTCTCCCTAGGATCGCGCTCAGGTGAATGCCAAGGAGTTAGAGTTCTCAGCTGTGAGATTCAGGAATAAAAATAAGGACAGAAAACCAGTATTATCTGTGTTTATAAAAGTGTACCAAAACTATCTTGCTACCACAAATTTGTGGAAATGATCACTTCGTCTATTACCTCTAATTTTCTGTAATTTTACATAAGTAAACGAAAACCTCAGAACTTTGCCAAATTCGCAAGATATCCTGAGACTGTTTCAAAGTCAACCTGACATTTTAAACTTAAAAAAAAATCATTTTATTAGGGGCTCATACAGCTCTTACCACCATTTTTAACATTTTATGTGAGAAAACAGTGAGTAAACAACCCAAAAGTAATGAACTGATACAGCCCACCGTCCCTTTAGCTCCTACTCAGGTTCCGTACACGGCAGCGCTGGATTCGTGCCCTCGTTACCTTCAGTGCTGAGCAGAACATGTGGTGCGCTCCCGTAACTAAGGCTTTTAATCTTCTTCCCGCATAAGGCTTCTAGCTTTTTCGGCACAAGTGTACTTTGGTTATCTCCAGTTCCCAAACAGTTACTATAGTTGAGACCAAATACGAACACCTAGAAAATAAAGTTTTAGCTGAGTTACTTGACCGAGTTGTATTAAAAGCTCTCTTCTCTACTCTGAAAAGAAGATCTGCTCAGTCCAGTTTGATAGTTGCCTAAGTAAGACAATACACAAAAGATAAAGTCAAAAATTCCGCCTCCGTTGACATTATTTACATTTGACAATATCTGGCTATTCTATGAAACTCAAAGAGCGGTAGGAGATGATGGGGTGTGAGTTAGTTAATTGTGCCAGCCTGGCCGATAATCACATGTGGTGCTGGTTGAAAGGCGGAGGGATAAATGGGTGGTGAAGCCTC